AATTCGACCTCTCTCGAGGTGGTAGCCTTGGTATCTCATCTCGGAAACACATCGAGAAATTCTCTCACAACCGGTACCTCTTCCTGGATATTTTCCTTCATTTAATCCATCCGAGTCGGAATCAAATAACACCGAGCTCCCTCTCGTAGCTCTTTTCGAACTCGCCGAGCCGATGTAATAAGTTCATCTCCTAATTCCGGATGTACCAACCTCTTCCGTCCACAGATCAATCGAATGCGATTGGTAGATAACCAATCCATCCCTAAGATTACATCCATATCCTTCAAAGGTAAACCGATTAAGTTCACCTTGTACCGTCGTCCTTCTACGACAATTGGGCACCTTAAACACACATAAAAAGACACCACCAGTCCAGTCTGCTGGTGTAGATACCCTCAATTCATAGGGTAGGTCACACACGGTAACTTAAGTTTATCCATACAATTATCGCAATAAAAGAATGGGTAGCTCCCGAATCAAACAAAACTCGTAGAGGTATATCGAAGATAAAACACACACCTTGCACTAAATTCTCCGACCTCGATGCCTCTCGCTCCCGACAAGGCAAACACCCGTCCCGCAGGTATGGGTTTCGCGTCACTCCCCCGGGTGCTAATAATGCCCCAGCTGAGACTATAACATTGGGATTCTCGTGGACGGTCTCTAGCCATATGTCCCGGCTTCGGCAAGTGTAGCAAAGACCCGCCCGAGATGTCCGGGAAGGATTAGTGAAGGCATTCCGTGGGCACCGATTCTTGTAATGAGGGCCTCCACATTGAAAACATTTTACCCTGGATACGAGATCCCGATGATCGAGGTGTTGGGGTAACACCGCCACTCTGGAAGACTGGGGCGTGAATAAGGCATCCTCCTCTCTCGATCTACTACCCCTACTCGGGACCCCACTTGAGTGGATCCTCATCACTCGACTCCTCCCTCCCGGAGTCTCTCTATTGTATTCGCCTTCTCCACCAACTCTGGGAATCTCCTGATAGAGAAAGGAACCACCATGAGCTTGATCTCAGCCCTCAAGCCTTCCTCAAACTTCCTGCAAAGCCACTGTTCGAAGTTGTACACGTGTAGAAACGAGATAAGTGCTCAAATCGTATGGCGTAATCATGCACCATCATATTACCCTATCTCGGACTCGGAACTCAGTCTCCTTCGAAATCTAACACTCGTCGTGGAAGTATTTCTCCGTAAATCTCTCACGGAAAGTTTCCCAATTACACACCTCCCCACGTGCAATCATCATCCTTTGAGTCCCTGACCACCAGAACTCAGCCTCATCAACTAGTAAGTATTTCCCGAATGTCAATTTCCTGCCTTCCGGGCATAAGGTAGCCTCAAAAATCTTCTCCACTTCACGCAGCCACTTCTCTGCTGCATCTGGACCCAAATCTCCTCCAAAACGAGGCGGATTATGCCTCATGAACTCAGTTAGCCCCATCTACTCTAATTGGTGATATCCAGCAGAGGATGATGCCATAGTTGGCCTCCACTGCGGGTAGGTAGCCTGCTACTGCATGGCAGCTACCAACATTTCCATTGCCCTGGCTAGGGCATCTACACTCGGTGGAGTAGGAGTAGGAGGTCGCGGTGCCATCCTATATCAAATGCAACCATCAATACAGAACAAACATTCACGCACTCACAATCAGAGTATAATCACAACGGACTTATCATAGGTTCACTACCCATCCCCACGTATTTACAAGGATACTACCGCTTTGATACCACTATTGTAACGACCCTAGAAATCGCTACTATAATGATGTCTTCGCAAAGTAGTAAACAAGTAAATAACAACATCTATTTTACATTATATTATCGTAATTGTAACATATATTGAAATTCCAGTTCACTAACGAACTTCAAAATATAGTAACATAATTTATTTATATATTATACATGTAAAAGTAGCTCCCTCGAAGCTATCCCACCGAACTATCCCCGTTGTCCGAGTAGTCACATCACCATCTCTCAACTCCCGATCTCGCTCCCACATAAAAGTGATCATCGCGAGTCCCATCCACATGGAAAAATAGGGGTAAGTATTAAATCATTTGATATAATAAAACAGATATAGAAGTAATAATTATATATTATGATCAATTACGAAATTATCAACACACTAAGACACCTTCCGAAGTATACCCTAACTATGCCCGAACTCGGAGGCTATCATCCGTGGGCACATTGTGATCGATACCCGTAGTACCATTCCGACCACCCTCCACACGAGTAGGATTATTGGCGCCCTTCATCACTCATACCGGAGTACCCCTCCGAGCGCGCCACCGGTCATCCCCCCATCGACTTCTCACCACCCGATCTCGTAGTTAGGGATGGCAAAACGGGCTAGGCCGGCGGGCTAGCCCGCCGGCCACGCCGACCCGCCATAATATGGCGGGCGGGTTGGTGTTTTTAGCCCACCGGCCCGCTTTGGCCCGATCTGTCAAGCCCGCCAACCTCGTCGGGCCAACCCGTGGGACGGGCGGGCCAGCCCGCGCCCGCGCTAATTAATAAAAAAATAATTTTTTATTATAATAAAATTAATTATAAAGATAATATATAAAGTTAAAAATTTTAAAAGAGAATTAAAAAAGTTTCATTCTCACGAGAAAATATTCTCCTTCCTGAAATATAACTTTCTCTCCTTATTTATCCTGGTTATATTTATCCTTATTACTTGAATTAAAGGTATACTTATTTATCCTAAGCACTCGATTATATTTATCCTTATTACTTGAATTAAAGGTATAAGAATTACTCAACCAAGAATAATATGAAGTTTTATCAAATAAAAAAGATATAGGTATTTGAATTTTTCAATATAAAAAATATAAATTTTATAAGTTTAACGTTATTTATATATATATATATATATATATATATTTGTTATTATTTATTATTATGTAAATTTTATTATTGTTCTAAATTATAATTTCTTAAAATAATGTATTGATTTATATTATTAAATTAAAATAATATATATATATATATATATTGAATTATTGACAAACAAATAATAATCTTATAATAAATTTATTAAAAAAATTATTTAAAAAAATTATTTTTTCTAAATTATGGCGGGCCAGCCCGCAAGCTCGCCAACCCGCCCCTTGGCGGGGCGGGCCAAGGTCTACAGCCCGTCATGACTATATCGGGTCAGCCCGCCCCGCCCCGCTTTTGGTGGGCCAAAGGCGGGGCAGGCCAAAACGGGGCGGGCTGGCCCGTTTTGCCATCCCTACTCGTAGTCTACCTGACCCGACCAATCAGTGAAGTTTGGGACCTCATTCAGAATCCTCCGACATAGTTATTACACTAATGTACTCTGTACCACCCCGGGTACCATTCAAACATACAAAATTTATTCACATTTGCCGGATTCTGGACCACCTGTCCTCACGGCTCATTCGGGTCAATAAAAATAGTATTTGACTGATTCGGCACCAACCTTACGGCTCGGTCTAGCCAATATATAATGTCTCGGGACTGATTCGGGCATCGACCCTCGGGCTTAGTCGACCCACACACGTCACAACACTCTACTTTCATTCTCTCTCTCTTTATATATATATATATATATATATATATATATATATATATATATATATTTCCTAAAATCATTTCCGAAACTATTTTCGAAATCATTAAATTACTATTTTGCCCTTAATCTTTTCTTACAATTCCATGTATGTCCCTAAATGACTATTTTACCCTTGGACATTTTTGAAAATTCCATTTATGTCCCTGTGATGTAAAATGACTAGTTTACCCTTGATCTTTTTAAAAAATCCCCACCGTATCCCTTTCTTCTTCCTTCTCTCGCTCAAGCGAGTACACCGGTCGCTTGAGCGATACAGAACCCGAAAGTCCCCTTTGTTTGAAGGCTCCGTCGCTCAAGCAAGTACACCGGTCGCTTGAGCGAGACATGACCCGAGAGTCCCCTTTGTTTGAAGGCTCCGTCGCTCAAGCGAGTACACCGGTCGCTTGAGTGAGACATGACCCGAAAGTCCCCTTTGTTTGAAGGCTCCGTCGCTCAAGCGAGTACACCGGTCGCTTGAGCGAGACATGACCCGAGAGTCCCCTTTGTTTGAAGGCTCCGTCGCTCAAGCGAGTACACCGGTCGTTTGAGCGAGACATGACCCGAGAGTCCCCTTGTTTGAAGGCTTCGTCGCTCAAGCGAGTACACGTGTCGCTTGACCGAGAAAGGACCTGAGAGTCCCAAATTTTCTAGGTGTTCTCGCTCAAGCGATGTATTTTTCGCTTGAGCGACTTTTGCAAATTTTTCAGTTCGCCATTTTCGAAATCCAGATTTCAAATTTCTCAGTTTCAATCACCCAAATTAGTTCCAAATCAAAATTTAACCATAAACATGTTCAATTTAAGTTAAAAACAACAATTTTAGTATATAATTCATCCTTAATTTCAATAATTAAAAAAAAAACTTTGTAACGATGAACTGTTCATCAAAATCAGAAATTCTTCAAAATTAGATATTTTTCAAAATTAGACATTCCAATACTTCATATCTCTACTCCTATTCCTTATTCACAGAGTACCCAACAATTCAATTTCATATATTGAATGAATTAAACTTCCCTTACTTGGTATGGTATTTCTACCGAAGTTTTCCCACTTAATTCAAGTTCTCTCCCGTTTCACCGGATCCCGCACGAGTAGAGTCTCGTTGCTTGAAATTTAGACAATAGAAGAAGAAGGATGAGAGGAAAATTTTTGATTTCCCTCCTCCCCCGCTTCAGTATTCATATATAAGAAAATTTTTACTGTGCATGAGGAAAACTTCGTTACGAAGTTTTCTTGCACAGTAATATTAATATAATATTAAAATAAGACATACGTCACACCTCCTTGCAATTACTCAGTATTTTCACACATTCTTCGTCGTTCCAGTTATGCAATATCCACTGCTTATTTGTCAAAGTAACAATGATAAGAATCTTCACAACAAAATGAATATTTTAAAACTATCTTTACGACACAACTGCAACAATTAAAGTGGTTGCAGACGTAATAGTTAGACTCATGACAAACATCCATTAATTAACATAATTGAAACTTAGATAGTATATATTTACCTACCTTCAACACAATGGCATCAGCAGGTGGAATTGCTTGAAACATATCCCCTCCAACATATTTTATGTTCTCAGTTCCTTGCAAGTCACCAACAACATGTGGCAGATCAAATACAATGCACTTTAGTTGTGGGAATGACTCAGCAATGACCTTAACCATAGTCCCTGTTCCTCCTCCAACATCAACCAATGATTCTAATCCCTCAAACACACTCTTACACTTCTCAATCACCATGGAAACCAATCGACTGTCAGTAGCCATGGTCTCATTGAAGAGGTGATTGAATTTAGGCTCACGCGCAGAATCCCATACCATTTGCAGTATGAAATGGTGTAGGATCTTCATTTGTGAACCAAGTAGAGAAATGAATCCATGAATTGATAATCACTGGAGGATGTACGACTTGGGGAAAATATTTCATACTGAAGGGATGGTCCTTAAGGAAAAGTTTAGATACATCAGTTAGAACCTACCTCACTTCAAGCTCATTTTCGGTGACATCGTGCTCATAGAAAAAATCAGAAAGAGCCAAAATTCTCATCAAGCGGTAAATGAAACAAGTCTTGGAAGGGTGGATTTTCAGGGAAGCAATGAGTTTTGAGAGTGGCATAGGTTTGCCATAGTCGTGTATGATATCTGGTATGTTCAAGTCAACTGCACACTTAAGCACTACTACAAAATATACTTTCTACGTCGTTATTTAACGTAGGTTATAGCTGAGACGACGTAGAAAGTACTTTCCACGTCGGTTCTCAGATGAACCGACGTTGAAATTGAATATTAAACACATTCTACGTCGGTTCTTAGTCAACCGACGTAGAAAGTACTTTCTACGTCGGTTCCCATATGAACCGACGTTGAAAGTCTTTTTTTATTTTATTTTTTACTTATTGATAGCGGTTATAAGGGAACCGCTATCTAAAGTGTATATTAGATAGCGGTTATAAGGGAACCGCTATCTAATATACACTTTAGATAGCGGTTCCCTTATAACCGCTATCTAATATGCACTTTAGATAGCGGTTCCCCTATAACCGCTATCTAATATACACTTTAGATAGCGGTTATAAGGGAACCGCTATTATATCCTCTCAATTATGATCGATCATTTCAAGTTATGATCGATCAGAATCTAATTTCGCTCGAGCGAGGGTAGTGTCGCTCAAGCGAAATACAACCCGAGAATGCTAATTTTGTGCAGGGGGCGTTTCGCTCGAGCGAGAAGGGTGTCGCTCAAGCGAGATACATTTTAGATAGCGGTTAACCTGGAACCGCTATTATATTGTTTCAATTATGATCGATCAGAATACAGTTATGACCGATCAGAACTATTTTAATCGATTAAATCTCGTTTCAATCGATTAAAACAATTTCTGCACAGCATTTTAATCGATTAAAACTTATTTTTATCAGTTAAAATTACTTGAAAAGTGTCACGAGAAAGTTTTGCAGTATTTCAATCGATTGAATCGCGAAACAATCGATTAAATCAACTTAGAAGATTTTTTGTAAAGTGTTTTAATTGATATAACAGATTAATTAAACCAGCAGTTTTGAAAATCTTCTATAAAAACAGTTTGGCTTGAACTTTTTTAACATACATTGAATATATCATCTTTTACACATCCTTGAGCAATCAATCAATCGCTAATTGCGACCGAATTAAAGTGGGGGTTGGCTCGAGGTTAGAGTTCGACGTCACTAGGGTATGCGTTAGGGTTCGAGCTCCGCTGGGTTTGCGTTGGGTTTCACAGCATGACAATTGGGTTTGGCTTGACATTGGGGTTCGATGTCGCCAGAGTTGGGGTTCGGCCTCGAGTTCGTCGAGGTTGAGGCTGGGGTTGAGATTCGAAGTTACTATTTGACATTTTTCTAGTAGTGATATTTACACGGATATATATTTATTTGTATATAAATATAATTTATTTGTAAGTTATTATCAAAAAATTCAAGTAGTTTAGTGGTTGGAGTATCGACCTCCAACTCTAAAGTACTTGAGTTCGAATCCCGCCAATGACAATTCTCTTAAAAATTAAAAAACTTCTAAAAAATATAATATAAAGAGATGGAGGACCTAATAAAAATATAATATGAAGAGAGGGGAGACTTCTAGATAAATAAAAGGGGGTAAAGGGGTTTAAATAAATAAAATTATTAATTTTAAAAATCATACTTTCAATAGTGGTTCCCTTATAACCGCTATCTAAAGTGTATATTAGATAGCGGTTCCCTTATAACCGCTATCTAAAGTAAAAACTTTAACGTCGGTTTATTATAACCGACGTTGAAAGTTACGACTTTCAACGTCGCCTGATACAACGTCGGTTATTAAACCGACGTTGAAAGCCTTCCAGAACCGACGTTGAAAGCTTTATTTGTAGTAGTGAAGGGACATGGTGTTTATGAATTTAAACATATGATTTGAAGCGTGGTTATAAGCACGAAGCAATTTTGCAGTGTGCTCTTCGCCCTGGGATTCCATATATAATTTGGTAGGTTTGTGTTGTATAAAACCTCATATTAGTTCATTCTATTTATAATAGTTTTTTTTTTTTTTACCAAAAAGGGTAAAAAACTACTGATTTTATCAAAGGTGGTAAAAAATTTAAACCAAACCACTTACAACAATTAAATCCATGTGGGACCGATATGTTTCCTCCCCAGCTTAACCGGAAAAATCGAGTTGACTGAACAGAGACGGGTTCTGTTTTTCTGCTTTAAAAAGTCAAGAGCGGGGATGGGTAATGTAATCCCCACTTTGATCCTGTCTCTGTCCCAATTTTATATTTAAATATAAATTTTAAAATATTAATATTTTAAAAATATTTTTTTCTTTTTCTATTATATATAAGGTCATTTTTTTATATTTCACCATTTTTACTTTTCTTCTACCCACTTTTTTTCTTTTTTAATCTTTTATATCAATTAGTTTATTATATTATTTTCTTTCTCTTATATTTCAGTTTTTCACATTTCCTTAATCTCTCCAATTAATTTATTTATTTTTTCAATCTTTTCAACTAATTTGATAAATAAAAAGTTAATTTATTTTTCTTCATTATTTTTTTCTAAATATTTTACATAAATCTTATTAATTAATATTATTTTATTTATAATTTATATTTATTAAGTTTTATTATGTCATATTTTTTAGATCTTATTATTCTTATTTGTCATATATCAAATTTTATTTCAATAAAATATTTATATTTTAATAGATTACAAAAATTAATAATTAAAATTTTTATTACTTTGAACTAATTAAATAAGATTTAACTTATTAAATATTTTCTTATAAATTATATATTTTATATATTTTAATGACAACTTAAAAATAAATCAAATTATATATAATCAAATATTTAAATACAAGTATAATAATAATAATAATAATATAAATATTTAAATATTTGAATACAGTGTTATAATAATAATAATGTTATAAATATTCTATATATATATAAATAAAAAATGATTAAATATTTCTTTTACATATATATTTTAATATAAATATAATAAATTAAAATATATATTTAATTAAACATAATTATAAATTACAAAATTATAAATATTTATTTATATATAAAAATATATAAAAATAGTAAAATTAATTTATTATAAATATAATTATCTTTTTAAAAATAATATAGATCGGGGATCGGGTAGGGAAACTCGAAACCCAGCAGGAACGGGAATAGAGACTTAATTTTTAACCCTGGCAGGGATCGAGGATGGAGACGGTTAAAAAAGTCGAGGGCGGGGATCGGGGAGGCAAAACCCGCCACCGCCCTATCCCGTTGTCATGTTTACTTACAACTTACAAACCAACGCAACACACATAAAATCACATGCATACGCGAGAATCGATTTTCCTCCACGTAAAATGTGCCCGACAATTGATTCTGCTAAATGGGAGAGAACGAGCATCAGTAGCACCACCACCTAACTCACCACCCATGCCACCAACAACACACATTTCACTCATGACAACCATAGCCACACCAGTAGTAACACCTCCATCACCCAACTAAACTCGAAGAACACAACCAAACTCACCTTGACACCACGCATAACAATGCGTAAACCAGAAGCACAAACAACCTACAAACCAAGACAATACACATCAATGATCACATGCATCCATGTAAAAGGAGGCCGATAATCGATTCTCCAAAAGTGAAAGAAGCGATAATTGATTTTTCTCTCATGGTGAATCGATTCTCATGCATTCAAAACAAGGGGATTGATTCTCCATCAATTCAAAGATGTTATCATCTTCATGTTCATCCTCTTCATTTGCATACTGCATAAGGGACATATTGGGCATAATAGTCGTGAAAGGTGTTTGATGGTATCATGACAACGATATCATGGAACGGTGGAAAATATATTTGTCTCAGATGGAAACGAAGTAAATATATGAGAAACTTATCCTCCAAATTGAAATTAAGAAGGTAAACTTTGAAGACCAAAATATGGATAAGGTTGTTGATGACTGGACTAACCAACATTTTGATGACTAGACTGACCAACATGTTGATAACTCGATTGACTAACATGGACATGACTAGATTGATCAATATATTGGGATTGTTCTTGTTGTTGTGTATCATACTGTTAAAAAAAATTAATATTAGTTTGATATCAATGTCATATATATAAAATTATTAAGATACTTACTTCGTCATCTTCTTCTTCTTAAGTAGAGGAAATATATCTTATAGTATGCTGAAAATACCATATCATATATGTTGTATTTTCACACAAATGGTCATTTCTATAGTAATCCAAGTTTCCCTATGAAATTTGTCAAGATTGATCAGGTGGATAGAAAAACATATCATTGGAACTATACAAACATGTTAAAACAATTTATCCCCAACTATAGTTTGTGTTGGGTCTTTTCGAGAGGGCTAACAACAAGGAGATTCTCACAAATGAAATCCGAACAAACCATATAAGAGAATATGACAATACTCTCAACCCAAAACCTTAAGGCACTATGTCACTGGTCTTTCTCACTTATAAGTTACTCAATTTTCCCATTTCTACCTAATGTGGGTGTCGCCACCGTCAAAACGAGGCGGTCGGAGCGACGCGATGGTTTCGACTTTCCGTTTTTCGCATTTTTATAGGTGTGGTTACAACGCCTTTGGGTTGTCCGATAACCGGCCTGAACCTAGAGGCGAGGTTTTCGAAAAGGTGCTCTTGGATTGTCCGATAACCGGGCTAACCCAAGAACTAACTTTTGAAGGGTTCTT